GGGGCTGTGACTGGGGCTGGGGCTGCTGGGACAGCTGCATGACTGATCCTGAAAGTCATAGAGGTTTTGTGGACAAGATAAGAAAAGAGCAGGAACAAGCATGCTTGACCATTGTTTTATGAAAGCTAGTAAGGATGCTTAAATGCATGTAAGAACCACCACCAGGATTATACAACACCCATCAAACAAGGTAAGAGCAGAGTCAGGGTGCTAATGACTGTCTGGTGTTATTTTTTGTGTCTAAAGCATCCCATATAATAAAAGCCTAATATGCTAAGTGTCCAGTCATCCGGTTGGCCATTCAACCAATCAGAGCATAATATGCTAATGATATGCTAAGGCAGCTCAACTCGCTATGACATGCACAGACCACCAGGGGGAAGACAATTGACCAGTCGCTATGATGTGCACTGACTATCAGGGGGCAGATGCTCCAACTGGTAGGTTAGCTTGCTGCTGGGGTCCGGCTGATCGAGACTGAGTGAGACAGGCCAAACATGCCCTGGAGTCCTCCCACGGTCCCTTCCCAGCTGGCCAATCTCCCGCATCTCTCCCCGGCCTCAATAGTGCACCAGTGGGGTCCCTCAGCCTGGCCTGTGCCCTCTTGCAATCCGTGCTGTGGGATACCCCCCAAGGGTACTAATTTCGTGCACAGGGCCTCTAGTTAGAAATAAAATGACAGACCTCACAAAAGGACAGTCTGGTAAGTGAAGGTAAAGGTAGTAAACATCCAAAAGACATTCCATGGAGAGCATCACATTCTCTGGAGCCTCTGCTTCTGATCATGACAAATTCTCTGCATGAGGTGCCCTCTGCCCTCCACCCAGCTCCCTGCCCTCCCTTGGCACAGGCATCCCTTCCTTGAGCAACACTTCTATGACCTCATCTTCCAGGGCTTTTGCAGTACCCACCACAAAGCACATGAAGCAACAGTCACAATGTATTGTAATTATCCATTTTTAGCCCCCTCTTTACCCTCCTAAGAAGGAATTTCCTGTGGGAAGGAACCATGCCTTATTTTACTTTATTTCTACACTGCCTGGCATGCAATAAAATTGGTTAAATAGTTAAAATTAAGTAGCATACAATTTGTTATGAAAATATTCAGCAATGCAATGAGAAGTAAAATGACATTCATTTAAACACCCAAAGCATCTTGTATAACACACGAACCCATTTCATTAGTATGCGCTTGAGAAAGGAAATTTACAGAGTTGTAGATAAAACTTGAATGGAACTTTCAGTTTTGGAAGTTGAAAACTTTAAAAAGTTATACTGTTGTTTCATGACCTCACTTAAGAGCGTTACCTGAGATCAGAACAGATGGAGCTGTACTGGCAGCCCTGACCACCGAAACGATCGTTGCAGAAGCTGGTTAGAAGGGACGAGAGGCCAAGTTCTACACGCTTACACTTTACAGCTAACTTAAAGGGACATCATGGACTGAATGGGATTAGTTTCTTGTAGTGGGTCAACCAATCAACAAGTATTTATAAAGCATCTTTGGCACATTATTCTAAAGTATTTAGTTTCTTTGGGCTTCAAAATGAATCACCAGGAAGATTTGACTTTGTAAGACAAAGATGGTAGGCTCTAAGCAAACTGGTTCACTAAACTTACAAGGTATACACTTTTCTCTTGTTAATGGTCAGGCCTACAATTTGGATATGGACATTATTACATTGTTGTATGATTTCTTACACTATTAACTGCAGACATAAAGCGAGGGGCTATGGACAAGAAAATATCAACTAAGTATTGATAAGTCACATTCTATCGCTACTACCGTAGATGTGATCCATTGGGATGGGTGAAAGCTTTATAAGAACTACATGTGGACCCATCTCCTAAACCTCAAACATAATATGGCTAAGGAAAGGCATCTTATTCTCCCACCACTACTCCCTTAAGCTTGTTCCCAAACTTATTTCAATAAATTGTACTGCTTAAGTTATCTGGGCTTAAAACTTTGGAGTCATCCTTAAATCTGTCACCTCCTTATCCCAATGTTTTGCTATCAGTATATTGGTATTAATTTTGGAAGAATTCACTCCCATCATTTCTGCTGCATCTTCATTGTCACCCCTAAAATGCAAGCTCTTATTACCTCACTCTTGGTTTATTGCTTCTGTCTCCAAACTATTAGCTTCTTCAGCTTTAATGTGGTCTACCTGCCACTGCTAGATTAACACTGATTTTACCATATCACTTATCTCTCAGGAGATTTTGCCACTTATTATAGAATAACATCCAAAGTTCCCCATCAAGCTGGGGCTGATGGTGCAATAGCGCAGTACCATCTCCAAGAACAAAGCCTGGCCCTTGGGACTTTAGGGGAAGATTCTGGTACAGAACTAAGACCATGATGAAATGTGACCTTCCAAAATGAACAATGCTCATTTGAAGTATCATAGAACACATATATCTACAAGGCTGCACATTAAACTCACCTGCCAAGTGTTTAGCCTGGGCTGCACCTTCAGTCTGCTTTGTGCGGGATGGGGCGGGCTTGTCCTTTTCATTCTTATGTGCGCTGTTCTCCAGAGAAAACAGCTTTTCGGCGGCGGCTTTCTTGGCTTCTAGTTTCCTCTGTCGGCACGTCTTCACTGGCTCTGCTAACATCCTGACTTTCCGCCGAAAAGAACTTAGCACCTGAATAGCACCATTTCGTTTCTTCTCCTCCTGAGCTTCTACACTCCCAAACTCATCCACATCAGAGACTTTGTAGAGCGGCAGCACGTGGAGTTGCTCATCCTCAGGCTTGCCTCTGATTTCTCGATTGTCTTCTCTTGTGAGGGTGCATACCTGGTAGGAAAGTAAGACAAACAGCCTGTTTCAGTTCAGAACAACAGTGTGTGTGTGTGTGTGTGTGCGTGTGTTTCTTGCTCTTAGTATTTAGATTTGTGGTGGTGGTCTACTGGACCACACCAGTGACCTTAAAACTATGTCTGTTATTAATAAAGAGTGGATCAATTCCCCCAGCAGCATGGCTCAGTGACTGAGCATCAACCTATGAACCAAGAGGTCGCATTCCATTCCTAGTCAGGGCACATGCCCGGATTGTGGGCTCGATCCCGAGCGTGGTGTGTGCAGGAGGCAGCGCATCAATGATTTTCTCTCGTCATGTGCACCAGTTTTCTCAAATTCTTTCCACTATTGCTACTACCTCCCTGAATTCTTTTCTACCCTACAATATAACTTTAGTGCCCGTCATTTGTTTTCTCATTAACTGGTCACCTTCCTTAACTATAACTATATCCATGTTGATGATTGCATTAGGTCAGCAGTTCTCAACCTGTGGGTCGCGACCCATTTGGGGGTCGAACGACCCTTTCACAGGGGTGGCCTAAGCACATCAGAAAACACATATATAATTACATATTGTTTTTGTGATTAATCACTATGCTTTAATTATGTTCAATTTGTAACAATGAAAATACATCCTGCATATCAGATATTTACATTATGATTCATAACAGTAGCAAAATTACAGTTATGAAGTAGCAACGAAAATAATTTTATGGTTGGGGTCACCACAACATGAGGAACTGTATTAAAGAGTCGCGGCATTAGGAAGGTTGAGAACCACTGCGTTAGGTTGATGAATGCAGTTTCTTCACTTGAGCTTTCTCATTCCTTATCTCCACCTCGGATCATCTCTCTCCAGGCAAGCCCGTTTCCTGGACTTCGTTAGTATGGAAGGTTGCCCTACCCTAAGACTGTATTCATTTTCTCCCCGTACCATAGCCTCCAGTTATAAGGCCCAATGCATTTCACCCATTGGAATATGTGGTTCCCGTGGGCTCTTTTTCACTTTGAATCTTCTATAGCAGTTACTGCGACAGTGACGATGTGCTCCCATGTGTACTTCTCTGCAAGGTGACTGGTACTTTGGCTTGTTGCTTAACTGATCATAACCTACCAGATATCTGACACATAATTTTTAAAGATTTTTTGGCAGCCAACTGCTAGGAGCTGGCAACTCATAGTCACTGGTTTAGATAAGCACCGAGAATTTCCATGATTTTCATGTGCCTGTCAACACAGTTTCCCCTGGTGTGCCAACCTGTTATGAGAGCACTAGTTATGCCAAACAGTTATGCAACAACAGTTCATTCATGAAAACGCTGCTGTGCTGTGTGACACATGCAGAGGGCT